GGCCAACCCAGGAAGTGTGTGGAAGGGAGCTAGTGCCTTGGGTTCCTGCTGTGTCAGGTCCGCTGCTGTGCGTGCATCCCTGTAAGTGCAGGCTGGTGGAGTGGCATGTTCTGGACTAAGTGAAAGCAGGCAGAGGCATGTCCGCCTGAGGAATGTGGGTGCGGCAACTAATGCACACACGGTGAACTTGGCAGAAATGACAGCACTGTAGAGCAGCTCCAGCAAACAGCTTGCTTCCTACAGGTAGAGGATGTATTATAGCGTTGTCGGGAATACTTAGTTAAAAAATGAATGCAGAGAGCTGCGCTCAGTTGATGAGTTTTGCTGATCTCTTTGGCTGTAAAGAGCTAAAGCAGAGTGCTGAAAGAACGGTGGAGCAAAGTTCACTGCTGTGTCCACCAGAAGCCTTCATACAGCTGCCCACGACCTCCTGATAGACATTCTCAGCTGTGGCAACTGCCCAACGACCTCCTGATAGACATTCTCAGCCATGGCAACTGCCCCACAACCACCTGATGGACATTCTCAGCAGTGGCAATTGCCCCACCACCTCCTGATGGACATTCTCAGAAGTGGCAATCTAAATACAGAAAAGGAAGAAACAGCTTGAGAAGCTGCGATGCTGTGGCTAGAGTACAATACAGATTCAAGATCCCAGTATTTGTCTTCGGTTTTAGCCAAATCAGAGTTGATACACTTTCAGAAGTCACACAGAGAGCTTGGTTCCAGGGACTCCCACCTAGCGATAAGCCTGCTGTAGTTCAAGGTCTTTATAAGTCTATGGCCAAGTTTTTCAAACCAACTTGGGATGACTAAGGAAGAGATGATGATTTTCATTGAAGCATCATCAGAAAACCCTTGTAGTCTTTACTCTTCTGTCTGTTATAGCCCCTGGGCAGAAAAGGTTTACAAGTTATGCAGCCTGCCAGCTGATTTGCATAAAGTTGGGACAATTGTAACCCTTGATAATTATATTTATATAGCAGGGGGTCAGATGCCCCTGAAAAACACAAAAACAAACACAGTAAGACAGGCAAACTGCAGACCGCCTTCTGAACTGTGAATTGCTTTTACTGGTGTGATGCCCAACAAAATACCTGCTTTCCAAAGATGCAGATGCTCTTCATCCTCACGAAGCCACCCTTGGTTTGCTGTGAAGGCTATATCTATGCAATTGGAGGAGACAGTGTTGGTGGAGGACTTAATCGAGGACTGTAGAAAGATACGACACTGAGAAGGATGAGTGGACAGTGGGGAGCCCCTTCCCGTGTGCTTGGCAGTGGAGAGCAGCCGTTGTGGTTCATGAGTGCACTTATGTGATGACATTGAACCTCAGGTACTGTTACTTTCTGAGGTCTGACTCATGGGTAGAGATGGCCGTGGGGCAGACTAGCAGATCTTTTGCTTCAGCTGCAGCTTTTGGCCATAAAATTTTCTCTATTGGAGGGTTGCATATTGCTACCATTTCTGGCATAAGACTCCCCTCTGGCACTGTAGATGGTCTTCAGTAAGTGGAAATATATGATGTGAGTAAAAATAAATGGCAGCCAATATCCCTGCTAAAAGGTACTCTGATCCCTGTGTTAGAGCTGTTGTGATTTCAAATTCCCTTTGTGTATTTATGTGAGAAATCCACTCAAATAAAAGAGCTAAATATATCACCTGCCAGTATGATTTGGGACTTAATCCGTGGTCTCTGGCAGCACATATCTGAACGTGTACTGTGAGACCTAAGGAGAGATTTTCGATGCACTGTGGGGAAATATCCATTCTGTCTTAAAAAAAAAAATCTCCATGGAAGCCACCAGCTTACTTTCTTTCACCAGATGGAACCAAGGAATTTGAACTGGATGGAGAAATGGTTGCACTTCCCCCTGTATAGCGGAGTTGAGGTGGTGGACATGCCGGACTAGTGATAGCCTTTGCTAAACCAGAGGATATAAAAGGACAAAATATGAGTACATAAAAAATCTACCTTTGATACATTTTAATTTTATGGCCTACTTAATATTTGCATCAGTATAATATATACCAGTGTGTCATACAGAAAGATATGCTTCTGTAATATGAAATAGGTTATTTGATAATTGAGAGACTTTGATGTGTATCATGTGAGCATAAGAGTCTGCATTATCTAACGTGTTAGCCCTGTGTATGTACAGTCCAGAACTTCACTTTTAAAAGGAATTTCGTGTTGCTAGTGTGGTATACCAAAATTATGCTGAAGTTATTTTAGTATATGTATTGATAATCTTGTACTTCTAAATTTCTGGAATATAGTTTTCCTAGCATAATTCAGCTGCACTTAACACTAATGTTCACGTCAGTCTAGAGATGTCTTTCCAATGCTATACTGTTGCTGAGGAAGATCTTCTCTGTGTCTATGGTCTCACACAGGGAAACTGTGACTGCAGGACCAGTCTCACTCTTCTACTAGGTGCATTCATTCCCTTCCCACTGACTGTACTTGTCCATCTAGAATACAGGTTGTCCAGTCAGCTGGCCACTAACCAGGTGTAGACTTAAGGTTCTGAGCTTGCAAATGAATTGCTAGTCCCTCATTGTGCTGTTCTATGTGGATCTTTAATCAGTAAATGTCTCCACTTTCTATATTACATTAACATTGGCTTATGTATATAACCACCTGCTGCCGATGTAGTTCTCTATGTTAAAGAGGTTTAGAATGGATTGACCAGGCCATTACATCTATTTAATAACAAGCATTACTGTACAGTGATTGTGTATAGGTATCTCTTAGGTGTTTTTTTTTTTTTTAACCTGATGTGTGTATCTTTGGGGGGTGCAGGTAGGAAGGTGAGCCATACAGGAATTGTGTGCACTGAGTGTGCAGGAGAACAAACTAGCATTGCTCTGGCATTAATCCCAGGAACCACAAGCAGCTGTGGGACACCATCAATGCAACGTGAGCACAGGTGCCTCTTGACAAACATTGCTGGCATGTGCAAATGCTCTGGCACTGTATTTTGAATTTTAACTTATTAAATAAATCATATATAATCAGTTGAAAAGTTAATTAGGCAAGTGCAGGTGTGTGTCCAATTTGTTTCTTGTGTTGAGAGGGTTTGTTTACCTTGTCATCAGCTTGGGAATAATTTGAAAGATTGCAAATGTTTCATGTTTTACAATGATCCTTAAAACTGCTACAAATGTTCACATAAAGGTTTCTTTTTATTTTTTCTTGAACCTTAAATTCAGGCTTTTCTTCCAGCATGAAGTATGTGGGTAGGATGGGGGCACATCACTGTGTTGTACACTTCCTGGACAAACAGCTTCATAGTGACTGCACAAGTTTGCCTTTCTAAAAGAAAATCATGAAGTTCATATCAACATCTAATTATTCAACTTCTTGTTATTTAGACAGTGATTTTACTCTTGAATCTAAGATGGTTTTTGCCCAAGACAAGTTCACAAACATTCTCCCCACTTTATAAAATTTCAGTGACTTTACAACATTGAGCTTTGTTTGTCAAGTCTACAATCTTGTTTTTAGCAGACAGACACCAGGTTGTTTCAGTAGCATATACTGGATGGAGCGATCCACCCTTTCCTGTCTAAAAACCACTCAT